CAGGTACAGCAGCAGTGAGGAAAGGAAAATGGTAACTGGAACCAGTCTTGATTCCTCCCTCTCTCAGTGTCAGGTATCTGGTGAATATTTGCTAATGTTTGAGCACCAAAAGGATGATAAATTCTTCACCAGTTTATTTCAAACCAACCCTTCCCAAGTGTCGTGGTTTAACCCCAGCCAGCAACTGAGCCCCACCCAGCCGCTCGCTCACTCCCCCCCGGTGGGATGGGGGAGAGAATTGGAAGGGTAAAAGTGAGAAAACTCGAGGGTTGAGATAAAGACAGTTTAATAGGTAAAGCAAAACAAAGGAATTCATTCACCACTTCCCATGGGCAGGCAGGTGTTCAGCCATCTCCAGGAAAGCAGGGCTCCATCACACGTAACGGTGACTTGGGAAGACAAACGCCATCACTCCGAACGTCTCCCCCTTCCTTCTTCTTCCCCCAGCTTTTATGCTGAGCATGACGCCATACGGTGTGGGATATCCCTTGGGTCAGTTGGGGTCAGCTGTCCTGGCTGTGTCCCCTCCCAACTCCTTGTGCACCCCCAGCCTGCTCGCTGGTGGGGTGGGGTGAGGAGCAGAGAAGGCCTTGACTCCGTGTCAGCACTGCTCAGCAATAACCAAAACATCCCTGTGTTATCAACACTGCTTCCAGCACAAATCCCAAACACAGCCCCGTCCCAGCTACTGTGAAGGAAATTAACTCTACCCCAGCCAAAACCAGCACACCAAGGCATAGATAACAGCCAGCCACTGTATTGCTTGCAAAGCCCAACCAAAGGAGCCCTAGGTCAAGCGAGGGAATGTATTTCTCTCCATCCCGATTCATTGAAACACAAGTTTCTGCCTTGTGCGATTTTCCTGTTGTGTTTTTCCATATTTGTGAGAGGGAGAGGCACAAGGCAGGTTACAAGATCACCGCAAAACCCCGGCATTGCAAACTCTGATGCTTGCAATAAGCCTGGTTATTTAGGACAGTGTTATTAAAAAAAAAATTCCTTTCAAGTATGTAAAAATGAGTGCCTAAAATCACTCTACTGCAGAGACACGAGGCACGCCAATTTAAAAAAGAAAAAAAATGGATGTCTTCATTAAGCCTGCTGCATGTTCTCTCCCAGGCATTCTCTCTTCCTGAGATGGTTGTTTTGTTTTTTATGCTTTAACTTCCTTCATTAAAGCATGCCTTTTTATTTTCCTGAAAGTAGGGCACACAGTTTTCGCGTGGAGGCTGACTTATGCTTTCACTGCATTTATTAATAATGCAGGGGAGAATAATGCTTTGCATCCATTACTTCAGTGCCCTTACAGAGCAGAACAGACATTTCTAAAATCGGCCTCGGAAATTAGGGGTCTCTGTGGGGATGTTGTGGGGCAGGACGAAGGCTCCGATCCCCCGTTCCTGCTTCTGGGTCCTCCCCGGAGGAAACGTTGCTCTGCAGAGGGAAAGCGTAGGCATCGTCTTTCCCCACATAAGTGCTCTGAACCATCCTCTATAGGCGCCCATCGACTATTTAGGGACCCATCGATGGGTCCCCTAAGGCGGGTATCTTGGGGTCTGGCGGGGTGAATATCCCACAGAGCCTTGCAAGGCTTTCTAAGAACAAATGCTCCCACTGTTTTGAGGTGCTCGGGCACACAGTAACGGGGCTGCCAGGGGAATTAAGCTTATTGCAAACTTTGTACGAGCCTCAAGGCCGTATCCATCACAAATAAGGTTGGCAGAGGGAAGGAAGAAATATATATTCCATATATACTGTGTCGTCTGCTTCGTCCTGTCATTGCGATTCTGTCCTCCAGCTAATTCACGGAATTCTCTTCAGGCACATCTAGTTCATATTTTTCTCTTTTCCACTTAAAATACGTCCCGAACATTACCGTGTTGGCGAGAGGTCCTCGCAGGGAGACGGACCAGTCCCAGTGCTGCAGAGACCCACGCTCAGTTCGCATCGCTTGCCCGGTTCCCACCACTAGATTCGCCAGGGATCCAACAGATAAGGAACAAAAGCTCTTTATTTTTCAATGAACAGCGTAGGCGAGAGGCTAAACCAAATCCAGAAGACACTGGTAGGAGATAGACCCTAAATGATATTGGATAGTCATGGCTGGATTGTAACCTCTGTGAATTGTAGCTCTTGCAAAGGACCAGGAGATAATAATCTTCCTAGAAGCCTCCTTGGTTCACCTTTTGTGTAGTTTTAAGTGATGGATTCTCCGAGGATCCATGATTTAGTGTACAGAGCATGCATAGCTATGGCAAGCTCCCAGCCATCTCAGACCCAAATTACCTTGATTTTTTGGTAGGTCTGATGTGGAGAGGAGAAACCGCAGAGGAAGGATTCATATAACATCTAAATAAATTGTCTCATCAGTCTTGGAGATTAAAACCTTTGTGAAATCGAGAGGCAAAAATGAATCTGATTTTGAATAAAAGCGTAAGTGAAGGAGTGTTTCTGTCTCGGCGCTGGGAGTTAGCTCTCCAGTGTGATGTTCCAGAGTGCAGCGTACCGTGGAAAATAAAGCAAGGCAGTTTGGAAATCCTTAATAATTCGCAAACCTTTGGGAGGGGGCACAGGCTCGGAGCAGAATGTGATCTGTGCTCGAGTGGAGGAGAAATGGCGCTCTGAATCTCTCACTTCCCACAAACCTCCTGGTTTTCTCTTGAAGAAGGTGAGGAGAGGGGAGCACGTTTCCACGTCTCCGGCAGCGGAGCACCAGCCAGCCAGATCTTGCACCCATAAACATCTCCGCGCAGCTAATGATTGCCGTGCCGTCCAGTAAAGCGTCGCTGCTGGGTGTCCTCCATGCTCCTGTGTTTCTGTCCCACACTAGGAGAGCGATCGCATGAGTTTTTGGTGGACCAGCAGACCTGCAGCAGTGCTTCTCCGCTCTCTCTGGGCAGTGGTGTCCAACCATTAGGACCTGTGGCGCGGCTGGCATGGGCGGTGGCACCAGCGCCGATTCCTCCTTGGCCTCCTCAATCACTCGTCCCCAACTTCCAGCCCTGTGGCACTCCAGATTTACAGTTGCATCTTCAGAGATGGTTAATTAAGGGTCTGAGCAGACACAGAGGCGTTGGAGGGGTTTGAAACATCATTGCTCTTGCCTTTGGGCTGCAGAAAGTTTTACAAGCCTTGACCAAGTCGTGAAGTCCCTTCTGTGGGGCTTAGTGCCGAGCCCTTCGGGGGTAGGAGCTTGCTTGGGAGAAGGAGTTATGAAGTGCAGCTTTAAAATGTCTTCATGTGTGGCTCCCTTGGGGCCGACGGGAGGATAAGGAACCCACCACCTCCTCCTGTAGGCCGTGGCGTCCCTCCCAAAGAGCTCCTCTTTCTGCCCCAGACGGCTTTGTCCAAGCTTGGCTGGTTCTGCTATCAGAAACAGTTCCCTGCCTACAAAATCTCGCCTCTGTTGTTCATCTCTTGCCCAAAGGTCCTTTTTTTTTTTTTTTCTCCAGGAGTCTCTTGAGTTGGCAGATCTGACCCAAAGTCCCTTTACCGCATCTCTGGGGAAATCCTACCTGTCCCTAACACCACACGCGCAGGGAGAAGGGGACAACAGGGACATACCCTGACCTCCAACCTTCTAGAGATCTCGGGGAATTCAGTAATTTGGTGTAGAGAGAGCGTGTCAACCGTCTACCTTCGGCGTTCACAAAAAATACCTTTAAAGAAGCCATAAATCGGTGATTTTCTTTGATTCCAGCAGCTGCATCATTTTACCTCCTCTACCCTCCACAACTTCACAGCGAGCTCTAATCACTAAGCTGCTTGCTGAGGATCGATCAACCCTCGCTTGGTTTTCTTTCCTTAGTAGCTGGGTGTGCGAAATACGTACGGCGGTACAGGGAAAACCTGGAGCTTATTTCTTTCATAGCGACAGCTAGAGCAGCTTGTTAAGCTGGTGAGCAGCGAGCTGTAATAACTGGCTGAGGCTTTCAAAAGGTGCATGCACTCTGTTGGGAGGTGGTGGGACTTAAACCAAGGCTGGGGGGAGCCACCCTTTGAGATTGGTCTGGGACAAAAAGTTAGGACAGAGCCATAGATTCAGGGGGGAAAACAAAAAAAAGAAAAACAGAAAAAGAGCTGTTAAGCCTTTCCCGGCGGCATCAACGTTGGGAAGGAGCCTGGCTGTAGGCTTGTGTTGGTGATCTGCCTTCTCCGTAGATGTGCTCCAGAAAGCCTTCGGTGTGATGGCAGTCCTTCTTAGATAAGCATTGGCAACGTGTTTGGATATAGGCTAAAGGTATAGCCAGTGCTGGTTCATCATACAGAGGTGCATTATGGCCGTTAGTGTAAGACCTTTTCCTCTTTCAGAAAATTTAAGACCCACAAAATGACTGAATCCTGTGGGTCCCTTCTCAAATCCCACAAGATTTGGCCCTTGAAATTCTTCTGGGTTATCTTAACTTGGCTTCGTAAATACTTCTCCGCAAACTGGGATACAGGGCGAGCTGCCCAAAGCCACTGCTTCTGCTGACTGCCCTTTCCAGAGTTTCTAAGGACCACCCAACGCTGTGATGGGATGGTCACAGCGACCAGTACCTTGTCCACTGGCGGTACCTGCCGTGCAAGCCTCTCAAAGGGTTTTACTGTGAATAAAATGCCTTGCACACCAGGCTCAGCCTGTTTTCCAGCTGGGAAACACAAAGCCAAGGACAGCCATTGCTGCTCCCTATGCACAGAGGTGACCGGTGGTATCTGGGGAGGGATGGTGGCTCTGCTGGCCACATCCCCCAAGTGTGGATCGTCATGCAGGTCGCTTAGCTCAGGAAACCAGTCGTCTGGGGTAGGTAACTGGTTTGCTGCAATGCACTGTGCAAACCATCCCTCCATGGGGAGCAGGTGGGGCGAGAGGAACCACGGTGTGAAGTTCCTATGGATAGTTGTCCTTAAAAGGTGGGGGGGAAAGGAAGAGAGCAGCAAAGTGGTTGAAACGTAACATAACTGCGGGAAGTTGTATCTTCATTGCTCTGTGTGACACCTCTTCTCTGTCTCCACTCAAGCTACACTTCTGATGAAGCAAGCCTGGCCACAGACCTCCTCCTCCTGTGCCACGGAGGGCACCTTCCACCTCCCGGTGGACACCGGGACCGAGAACAGAACTTATCAGGCTTCTTCTGCAGCATTCAGTAAATAAACCTTTTCTTCTGGGGTTTTACTTGGTTGTTTTGTGCCCATTTGCCTCCCCTCCTGTGGGTTATTGGGGGATGGGGTTATTGGGGATCAGTTTGCTGATCATTCGTGCCCGTGCAGGTGCGCGTGTGTCCGTGTGTCCTTCCCTGGGCGCTGAGCCCTGACACGGGTGAGGGTGCTGCGGGTCCTGGGGGGGTGCTTGCTGGCACCACGTCGCAGGTCCATCGCCTTCTGCCAGGGGAGCTGCCCAGGGGGAATGTCGTGCTGCTGCTGCTGCAATCCCTCCTGGGATGATATTTTGCAGAGCCCTTGGGTTTTTTCTTCTGAAAAGCAGGTAGCATCCCTGCTCCTTTCTGCTCGCGTTTGTTAAAACCATGAAGGAGCATGAGAAGGAGAGCACTGACCCTCCTAGTGCTCCTTCGGAGGAGGAAGAGTCAAGTGGGGAAGAGTGAAGGCCTTTCTTTTAGCTGCGTGTTTGGTCCCCATGAGCAACGTGAGGTTGTTTGCAGGTGTGTATCTGCAGTGGTGATGCTCCGTAGTTGAGCATGCATAGAAAAACCCAAGGGAGATTATTCCCTTAAAAGTGAAAGAGAGAATTCCAAAATAAAGCATGATTTTCAAGGAACCCGGGTGAAATTCCCACCTTTTAACTCAAACTGGCCGAGCAGAGGCAGGGGGAGGAGATGCTGCTTACGGATCGCAGTCAAACAGGCTTTTCCAGGTGGAGCCTTGTAATCTCATCCCTTATGAGGCCAAATAGTGCCTCCAGGAGGGGTGATAAGCTCCCTGATAAAGCCCCCCCTGCTTCCCCCGGTATGTGGGGTGTCCTCCGGCCCCTGCCCGACTGCTCTTGCCCGCTCTTGCCCTCACGTTGCCTGCTGAAGCCGGGGCACGGCTAACACGGGGCGTGCTGCAGGCGTGAGGCGGGACCACTCCTAGGTTCAAAATGCAAAATTAACCACGGGTGCTTCAAACCACCCCTGGGACCTGGAGAAACTCCCAGTCGTATTTGGAGACAAAAATATAAGGTATCGTAAAGTGACGCTCCACGGGCCATGTTTGCAAGGCTGCGCCCATGCACACGACGTGGGTTGAAGCGTTCTTCACTGTCTGTCTGCTTCAGGCTCCCTTTTCGTGCTAAACTGAATCATTTACAGAAAGAGGTGAGAGGAAGAAATATTCTTTTTTTTGATGAAAAGAATTATTAAAAATAAACCTATTAAAAGCCTTCGGGAGACTTTATCCTTGGAAAGGGACATCCCTACCATTCTTTGGGGTAGGGGCTGTATGCCTGACATGGTGCCCGGGCTTTGCATCGCACCTAATTTCACGCCAGACCAGATCTGACCGAGCTGTAAGCGTTTGAAAAAATCTCAGCGTGTAATTAGTAGAAACCTAGATATCATGCGGCAAAATTCCCTTGGAGTTCAACCCATGCCTGGATGGGATTTCTCCTCCCCGTTGCACCCCCGGGCTGCTGCGGGTGAGATTCCTCCCTCGAAATCAGAGAGGGCAAGAGCAGATACCGCGGTAGGAAAGGGTTTGGGGGCAAAATTTGCCTGTGGCCACCCAGTGTGGGTGATAAAGGAATTTAATAGTGCGGTCACCGGCCGGACCCATGCAGGTTGGCCTCGCTTCCAGAGAACTGGCTTGGGCACATTTAATTTCGACATACGTAAAGCCTTGAGGTTTGATTTGCAGCGGTGCTTCAGGCTTATAGCTGCGGTTGGCTTCGCCAGCGCTCTGCTGGGAGATACCACCTCAAGCGCAGGCTCTGAAAAATCAGAAGCATTTTAGTTTGGGCATCCCAAATTGGTTCTGTCCTCCGGCTCGATCTCACCTAGCCTCGGTTTTGTTCTTGGGAGAACAGCCTTCCCCAGGCGTCCCCGGCGCAGGAGAGGGGTGAGAGCTTACTCATGAGCATCAGCAAGGTGTCGGATCTGGGTGGAGGAGAGCCAAGGCGAAGCCTGGGAGATGAGTCCTTCTGTTCCCAGGGTGAAGAGTGCCCACCAGTACGGACTGGAGCCGCACGCTGAGCATAAAGTCCGAGTAAATGTGCAATAGCTGCTCAGCACCTCCCCACACCTGCACCACTAAGACAGAAGGGGTGCTGAGGGCTCAGCTGGGCTGTGAACCTGCAGTGAAAGATGGTGGCAAGACATGCATGAGCTTAAAGGCTGGGTAAGGGCTGGCCGGGTGCCTTCATGCTGGCCTTGCCTACGGTGTGGGGACATGCCTTTGCCTTTTGGCTTTTTGTCCTTTAATGCTGGGTTTTCAACGCTCGGTTTTGCCTGAGGTATTTTGTTTCGTTGCTTAGATGCTCCAGTTGAGATCAGAGGGGTCATATATACAAAGGTTTTGTGCTTTTTGATGAGCAAGGTTATAGATTTTATGGTAACTTCTGCCCAGAGCCTCCTGTTTGCTTTTGTCTGGCTGGTGAGGATGGCGGTGGCGATGGCGATGTGCCGGGGAGGACTTCGGCAGAGGCAATGCAAGCTTACCAGGCAGCTGCCCGTACTGGTGTCTGCACCGTGGCATCGTCCCCTGTGATGTCCCCATGCTCACCACGCCAAAACTGTTCCTCCAGCCCCGCCCCCGGGTACAGGGAAGGCATCTGGATAATAAAGCCAGGCGAAAGGCTGGAAGAGGATGAGCCAGACCGGAGGGCGGTGGCAGGGGCAGGACCAGACACCGGGAACAAGTCAGACTCAGCTGGGCCATGCAACCACGTAGGACCTCCCAGAGCTACTCGTCCTTCTTGGGGGATCTGCCTTCTGCTCCCAGGGGTGGGAGTGCGCCAAGTGCAGCCTCCTCAGACACAGCTTGAATTTACTGAAAAAATGCAGGTCCATTTTTATAGAATCACAGAATCGTGGAACCACAGGATGATTTGCGTTGGAAGGGACCTTCAAAGATCATCTAGACCAACCCCATCTGCCGTGGGCAGGGACATCTTGCACTAGATCAGGTTGCTCAAAGCCCCGTCCACCCTGACTTTGAACACTACCAATGATGGGACATCCACAACTTCTCTGGGCAACCTGTGCCAGTTTCTCACCACCCTTATCATACAACATTTCCTCCTAATGTCCAATCTAAACCTACCTTCTTTCAGTTTAAAACCATTGCCTGGCACCTTCTCCAGGCTGAACAACCCCAACTCTCCCAGCCTTTCTCCATAGCAGAGGTGTTCCAGCCCCCTGATCATTTTCGTGACCCTCCTCTGGACCCGCTCCAACAGGTCCGTGTCTTTCTCATGCTGAGGACCCCAGAGCTGGACGCAGTGCTCCAGGGGGGGTCTCACCAGAGCAGAGCAGAGGGG